AATGTTTTCTACAGACGATTATTTCAGTATAAGGGAAACATTTATGGCGTGACTCTGTCTGCCATGGCATTCGACGATTTGATTAGCAATTGACGTTGCGGTCGTAAACACGTGTCGCAAAAGACGTTGCTTAATCAAATTATTTGGACATGGCGTTCCCACTACATAATAATCTGGTTAAGGGTGATTATCAATAAAATCCCGTATGCCTGTTGCCGTTGTTGACAGGACAGTGATATGAGCTTCTGGTGTGAAATTGTCTAGCAACAACACGTTCGCGTATCCTGCCTTTTATTTTTATACCCTGGTTTAGATTTTCATTGCTCTGTCTTGGCAATATGGAGATGCAATATGTTTACTGATTTAAGTGCTGGTACCGACTGACAGATTTGTTTCACGAAGACAAAAATTGTTAAAAATTGATAGTCAAATGAATTTTTGTTTATTGTTACATGGATTGAACTAAATATTTTATTCATTAACTAATCATTTGAGGTAATATCGATATATTTTATATTATAATAAATGATAGCCCTATTGTGTTGTAGATTTACTTGAGGAGCCTATGTTTGCGAAATGCTGTAACACAATTGTAGGTTGCAAGGTATGTGTGGAAGAGTGGCTGAGAAATTCTTCACAGTGCCACAAATATCGACGTAGAGGAGCCAAGAACAAAGTATTCCCCATAGTCGGATTAGATGATGGACTAGAGGTGCTGCAAGCCATTTTCTCTGAGTCAGATTGGTTGATTGATTGTTGGTTGCTTAACGTCCAGTGGCAAATATTTCATGCATATTCAGCACGAGAACAAGTTAACAATAAATACAATAGGTAGGCTCTGTAATAGGGGCTTCCGGGATTACCTACGGATCACCTACGGACCCCTCAAAGAGTTTTGCAAGGATTCTTAACGTGCAAAGAGCGTGGCAGTCTCTTTACACGAGGCATCGGATTCAACGTCCCCATTCTGACCGGACGTGGCTGCAAATTTGTACATCCCGCACTACCAAACGGACGCCCCACTTTAGCAAGGGTTTTACTGCCGGTCGGAGGAAGACCAATGGTGACCATACTTCTATTCCCTAGTCACCCTTGGGGGCTCTGAGTAAGAAGGTAACCTTTGTGGCCCATTTTAACCTGTTTTGATATGTCCATATGCTTTCGAATTTGTAATTTAAATAGTATCTGTAAACAAAATATAATATTGAAGATAAGAGGACCCACATTTCACCCAAACTTACAGAATCTATAAGGTGACGGAAGAGGAAACTCGTACTGCTTTAGAATACTATGATTCACGTCGATAATAAAAGATACAATTATTGAAATATAATCGCGTTTTTACAAGAGACTTGCCATATTATACTTTAGGTCGTCTACCAATCGACGCCCCAAAACGAGGAGAGGTCTATGCATATAAAACTAACTGAATAGTCAAAATGAACCAGAATGACTCTATGAGTCAAGCAAACATCCGAAAAAATATGATAGAAACTTTAAAATTTAATATAACAACACAAAAAAATGCAAAAGTTCTGAGCGAGGTTCGAACCCTTTCTTCAAATTCATCATTTATTAGTAGTTCTGTGCTCTAATGGTGGAGCTACGGCGATTCTGATCATTATGACTCTTATTTAGAAGGTATATCGGTACAATTTATCGATGTTACAATTTTTTCTTTAAAAAGTTTTTTTTTATGTAATAAGGACACACTAAACCAATTTCATTTTTGAAGTAAAAAGTAGTATGAATAACAACAGTCATAAAAAGCATAACTTTTTTTTGGTTTGAAATGTCCTTCTTGGGGGATTCCCTGTTTTTTCCACATAAAAACACCCGAAAATCCGGATATTAGATTTTCATCATTTTTTAGGGTTAAATTGACTATTGATCACACATATCATACTATATGTAAATCGAGATATTGATCAAAAAGCATTTTTATTTTTTGTTTTTATAGTAAATTTTATTCTGTCGGCACTTTTTGAAATTGGCCCTTCTGTGAAAAAAAATCCTCGGCATATTGGCCCTACCTCTTTCTTTCGTTGGAAAATTAAAATTACCAAACTCTGTGCAGTAATTGTGTGCATACTAAAATCATATCTTCCAGATTAAACAATGGTTACCTTTGGTCACCCTTCATATATATTGAAACTGGTTACTTCCTAACGCCATACACGTGACAGATATTGTCTTTCGTTTGCTGTCGGCAGTTTACATAGATATAGATTTTGATTAAAGATTACATCTGGTCGCCATAGAGATTTATTGACTGGTGCCCTCTGGTCACCTTTCACATATATTAACTTTGGTTACCTCTGGTCACCTAACACAGATATTAACTTCGGTTATCTCTGGTCACCCTACTCATATATTGACTTAGGTTGCCTCTGGTCACCCTTCACATAAAATGACTTTATAACCTCTTTTCCTACTAAGTTATTGACCTGAGTTACCCCCGCACAATTATCAAACTTGTTAACTTGTAGGCAGTTCACACATATACAGATTTGGGTTACATTTGTCCCCTACAGATTTATGGACTGGTGCCCTCTGGTCACCCCTTCCCATTTATTGACTTTCTCTACATTTGGTCACCTTACATAGTAATTGACTTTTGTAACCTGTGGTCATCTTACACATATATTGATTTTAGTTAACTTTAGTCAGGTGACAAAGTTATGAACTTTGGCTAGCTCTGCGACATTTAAACAGATATATATTCTTTGATTAAATCTGGTCACCCTACGCATATTGTCTTAGTTAACATTCGCTTACCTTACAAATATATTGACTGGTTACATCTTGTCGCCCTTCACTGATAGTGACTTTGGTTGACCTCTGGTCACCCTACATAGTTTCTGACTTACTCTGCTAACCCTACACATATGTTGATATTAATTACCTCATGTCATTCTGTAACTTGTACACCTTTATTACCTCTTTGCAATTTAAACGGTTATAGACTTAAATAATATGGCACCTATTGTTTATATAATATTGACTGCGGCTACTTCTGGTCACCCTACCCAAATATTGTGATCTTCTGTGCTAAACAAGATTGCACTTCTGTTTTCGTAGAATTCCAAAATTTAAAAGAAACTTAATTGATGTCATTTGTTTCAGGTATTATTATTTGTATTACTTTGATTGTTAAAAATGATTATTTATTTAAAGCATTTTTGGAAACTATATGGGATTCATGGAAAGGAAATGCTGACGAAAAGTTTGGTACGGTGTATGGGAATGTTCTTTACGTATCGGATTTAATGAGCTTAAAAATTGAGGAGGAGTTGAATGATCAGGTAACAGTACTAATGGTTTAATTTATGTAATAAAGGTTAAACGTTTTCAAAGATCTTGAACTCTCCTCTGAAACTACTGAACCAATTCCAACCAAACGTAAGCTTAATCATCCTTAGGGTATCTAAAATAAAATTAAATCTGACATTGGTGAAAAGGTTCATTAGGTAAAGCATTTTCAGACAAATAAAACTACCCATTGTTTGGTTGATGCCACTAAATTGCTAATTTTTGTGACCCCTTAAAGAGTTACTGGCCTGTAAGTAATTGTGTTTTCTTTTATGCCAAGAAATATAGTCACTATGGCTTAATAGCATATTGGTTTAAAATGCATTGTTTTGCCATTGAAGAAAATATGACAGATACCAAAAAAAATTAAATACCAATTTGACAATGTAAGCACTACTTTATTTCCATTGAAAAGCAGAAATAATCATTGATGAAAGATTTAACAACAAAAAAAATGCAGGTAAGTCATTCAGGTTTTTGGAGGTCTTTTGATTTTATTTAGTTCTATAAAATGTACAAGGATTTTTTTAAATAATCTGTCTTAAACTGATAACATAATCATGGTACTTTATGTTATGTGTTATCTTGATCAAACTTGTATGTCTTCACCTTTGTGATATTTAGTTTTGTTGATGGTTTCCTTTGTATCATACTGATTGAAAAGATCTGACCTTATCATTTTCTTTTTTTTTTCAGATAATTAATCTTTATTGTAGTGTACTGCAAAAACGGACGGATCAGTGTGAACAGGTAAACGAATTAAAAGTATTTATTTAATAACCGTTTTATCATATTTCAGTGCATTTATTTTAGAGTTGACTGATTTTTTCATCGGCTACTTTAAAGCATGCTTATTTTTTTGTAACTTCCAGGATCAATTCATTTAATTTCGCTTTTTCTACATGATCCATTCCTCCATTAAGGGTATCTGAATTATCATTCTAAACTTGTTTTATGCATTTTTTATTCATTTCCAATTTCACCAAAGTAAACTGTGTATTGTAAAAGTTACTTTCGCACCCACCACCCTTTTTGCAGAGAATGAAATATTTGTTCCACTAAATCATCTTTTATTGTTTCCCTTTTATATAATTTAAGGTCTTTCTACCTTTCGGTTGAAAGACTTTTAGCTTTACTTAAGGATTATAATTATTATCATTATTTTGATATTATTATTTATATTTTGTTCGCCTTTTTTAAGTTGAGCTATTATTTTTAACAGATGTAGCTTTGACTTTGTTTTATATGATATCGTACAGCTTATGAGCTTTCGCCATTGCCCTAACGAAGACTTTTTACTCTCATTAATAGAGTTACCTCCCCAATCTCGATTTTGCGTGTAGATACATCTACTGCGATATTTTATTAGTTTACTCAATTACTCGTTACACCCTTATGATGTCATATATTATTTAACCGAAGCTATCTGGATATTCCTTATAAGAGTTATATCCCATTTGGAATTGTCGTTAAGGAAATATATGCACAACTCATTAACTATGAGAAAAATGAATTTACTTTTATTCCTCGTATTTTTGATGGGTAATTTCATACTGACTTTGAAGAAGTATTGAACCAGGCAAGAAAAACCTTATATAATTTCACGTTCCGATGTAATAGAAACAGTTAAATAAATCCAATGTTCTTGTCACACAATTTGTTTTATACATATTTCCGTTTTCCAGAAAGTGTCCCGTGCAGATTGTCTGATTCTGACCTCAATTTTTGAAGGGAGGAAAAGCGTAACTTGGTTTAAAAAGGTATAATACTATATAATCATCTGTTATAAACTCTTTTTATATAAGTGCTTTTGATTTACACATAGATTACTCTTTTTACAGCTAAAAGCTGGATATTACCAATTCGCCTTTCACGTTTTAACAAAATAATAAGACATTCTAACATATTGATGATATATGTAAATTATCAAATGATAAATAATAAAACAATATGCTAAATATTGTATTGTGTATGGTATTATATTGCTGTTTATAAAATGTATTTAATGTTTCATCGGTCTTTTTTTTATCAGTTTGCAAGTTAATAATAACATTTTACAATACTTTTTTAGGACGATATACAACAGTATGACACTGTCATTGGGTGCATTAATGACGGGAAGTGTCATTGGGTTGCTGTGGTAGGTTTATTTGCTCAATTAATGTTATTAATTACACTATTCAGGCATTTTTCCATGAGGTTATAAGTTAATAGAAAAATGAGTTGCAAGAACAGCATTTCAGACATTTCGTTGAGTTTTTAGTCATGTTAGTTGTTCTTCTATAACTTAATTCAACTTACTTGACTTAATATATATATTTTCTCATACATTTTTCCAACTGATTTTGCACTCATTTATATGAAAGCATTTATACTGCATGGAAATGATAGTTAGAAAAGAAATATCAGATATAAAATATTGGCTTCTTCGTATAGAATATTATCAAATATTTGCTTCTGAACATTGAGCAACAACCAGTAATTAAGCAAAATATTTATTTTTTTATAAATGTTAATGTAAACAGATTTAAGTATGTGAAATTAAAAAGAGAGAATAATTTTTGTTTCAGGTTATGGATGTCCAACACCATATTGTGACAATTATGGACCCGCTCAAAATATCAAAGAAATTGAGAACATATGAAAAGAATTTCAAGTAAGATTGAAACTGTAGTTACATGACAGTCGTTTATTGCTTTAATGCATGTGATTTGTTTCAAAGTAAATTTTTATTTCTGTGTTTGATATATATACTTAAAAAAAAGTTTATAATTCTGAAATTTTCAGAAGTGAGTCACAAGTTATAAGGACAAATCTAGAGAAATATAATTTGTTAATCTAAAATGAAAATTACTTCTGGTTGATACTGGAATTGAACTATAATTGTATTATTGATTGCACAGCTTTGTAAATTGAATATAGCAGTAAGAACTGAAGACCAGTTATTTTTTTCCAAACGTTGTTGATATCAACTTTAAAACAGCTGCAATTATTTTTTTTCCTACATTAGAAAGGTTGGTCAAATGAACGGTTTTCTATGGAATGTGCAATATCTCCTTAAGTATCATACATCTAGCTAGACATGTAAGTTCTATGATACAGTCCGGGGTAAGGCAATGGCTGGCATTATGGCTATAGCCAGCTTGACTTTTTAATATATATCAATTTTAAGTAACACATTTTTCTTTTCATATTATATTATGTAGCTACTTCACTAAAAGCAGAGATCTTGGTACATGGACAATCTGTACAGCAGTTGGGTATCCTCTGCAAAATGATTTTAGCTCATGTGGTGTTTATTGTTTGAAGGTACATAAAACATTGGGCTTTGCATGTATGAATTGAGAGTTAATAAATGAAAGTTCAATTGAAGCTTGAATCTTAAATCAATGATATATATATACTAATAAAGATCACAATTTTGAAAAAAAGGCAGAATCGTACAAACAAGATGAACAAAATATTGTTGTAAGTTGTAAACAACTTGTTTCCCAAACCTGTTTATTTAAATATGTGTAAACAATAACTTGGAATATATATCATGTAAACTATTTCAGTAAAATCCGCAAAGCACAAAGGTTGTGTGAAATTTAACCAAATCTATGATTTGCATAAATTACTTTAAATGTAATGGAAAGAAAAACAAATAAATATGTGGTACTTTTAATTAACCTTTTGTAAAAAAAAACATTTTTATATCATTATTAGGCCTACACGAATCATTTCAGTAATTTAAACATTCAGTTTTGAACAGGCCATAGAAAATTTACAAAACAATGTGTACATTTAAGAATTATTTTTTTAGTTCCTCGACCGATACCTAAGTAAGACAGATACATCTTTGGAATTAAACGTCCAAGCTGAAAGATTCACAATTGGCAGTGAAATTGTTCAAGCTGTGCGTAAGTAATCAATAGAATAAAAGCATTTACTAATAGTACCGTATGTTATGTAAATACTTAATATCTTCTTGCTAGACAATAAGTGAATCTAATAAAAAGGGAATATGAATTTTAACATGTTCAATAATGTGTTTGAAATCCTTTTCTTTGATGTTTATCTCAATTCATTGATGATTTGTTTTTAATTTTATCTATTGTTTCTGACCAAATTTCTTTACGCTATAAATGATGTATTTATGTTTCTTTAATGTATTATTCATTATTGATATGTTATACTTAAAAATGTAGTTTGGAAATAATAGCTTAATAATTCCGGTTGTTTTCTGTAATAATTTCTCTCTTTTTTCTACAGCTCAAACTGTACTTATTTTTATGATATTCCATGTCTTATATATGTATGATAATGTGTTGTTGTCAAATATAACGATCTTATTAATGGAAATATAAACATGGAAAGTAGATGTTTAATAATCAACTAGTTTTTGTAGGTCTAATTAAGTTAGCCGATATATTTATGCGATTGTCTTCTTCATATAAACTGCCGCTGTCATCAATGAGCATCACCATCATAATTACCATCTACGGGAAGGAACGTAAAAAATAACATCAACCAAGTGTAAACATTTTCAATTTTATGACTTATTATCAGCTGCTGCAATTTGTGATTTGGAGCAGAAGAATGTTGTTCCTAATTCATGTTAACATCTATTTCTATTTTACTATAGAAACAAAAGGTGCTGTTATGACATGCTTCTTGTGTGCTAAAGAACCAACTAACATGGTAAATATACATTTATAGATCGTTGATGTTCAACTTAACAGGGTGCTTTATTATTTTTATTGCTTATTTAAATTGTTTTATGGTTAAAATTGATAATTTTTTAACAGAACCTTGTGATATTGTAGGTTAGAATATAAATGTTTTTTTTTTATATCAATTTGATGAACTTTCACTAATATTAACATTTTTCGCAATAACTACATTAATTCATAGAATTTGAACATGTCTATTAAATATTGCAGAGAGCATGTTCATGCTGTAAAAGGAATTTCCACAAAAAGTGTATGACTCCAGGACTATGCAGTCTGTGCTCAATTTTTCCACCTGGTGAGTGCAATAGAAAATTCTACCATTTCTAAGTTTTTTTTAAAGTAATACAATGAAATAGAATTTAATTTGCAAGGACAAAATGCGATATAACAAAATTGTAGAATGATCATTGTTCTTCCATTTGTTCAATAATTCTATAAGTTGCGTTTAATTTCATAACAGAAGTCGACTTATTAATTTTTGTAGATATATTCATGTTGATATTTCTTACATTTTTTATAGATTGCACTAAATGAACTTATTCTAAGATATCTTTGAAATCCAAAGATTTGTTGTTCTCACATTCAGACTCACATGGTAAAGGCAGACGTTTAATGTTCCCCCTCATGACTTAGTTGATTAATACAGAATGACGCTGGCATAGGTACCGTTTGCTTAGTGCACACTACTTTTTAAGTCTTCTTTAAATATTGTCTTTTCAAATGATTTTGTTATATAACTTGTCAGTTTCTTGTTTGCATTGTATAAGCTGTTGGATTTTATTTATTTTTTTGTTTCTTATATACAGATGTATGGTAATGTATAAAATACTGTGAACTTTTAGTTTGGTGTGCTTTATCCTAAATCTGTACGCTTCAAATATAATCAATGTGTAGTCAATATGCCACTACTTTTACATATTATAGTTCTCACTTAATGTTCTGCTTGACACAATAATTACAATTTCCTTATTTATTATCTCTGCTGTGAAGTCATGTATCTTTATCACAACTTCATTTCTATCCTGTATCAATTTTACATTACATTATAATCAATGATAGATAAACATAAATGCATGCAGAAAAAATAATAAAGCATGCTTCTGAATTAATTCCTATGAATATATATAATTCACACAGTTTTCGCTAGAAGTAAGTTCACGTTAAGCTATTAATTTTTTTATGTTTCACCCACACTTATTTAAAAGCACTAAATAGTTCGTGTTGTTCAAGGTAATCTATACTTGACAGAGAGGTTACCCTTTTTTTATATTGCAATTTAATAATTTGAGTATATATTTTTACTCTGAATTGTACTGACTTTAAAAATATTAACCTTTAGTTTCTCTTCATGGATTTTGTTTATTCTTTTTTTTAGAAAAAGTTAGACATTCAAAGAGAGGAAAAAAAGAACAACAACAGGTTTGATATCTATAATTGGTTCATCAAGACTACAGATGATTGTTGCATAACATTTTAAATGTTTATTCATTGAAAACACTTTACCATCGAATTTTCTTCCTGATCATCTAAAAAAAATTAACGAACTTGCAAAAATTGTCAAGAACATTCACAATTAAAAATCGGGTCAATTTATGCTTGTTCTCACTTGATACTTCTGAATAAATCAATTGATTTCCTTATACAATTATTATATTTTTATCTTCTTTTTTCAGAAGTCCATACAAATTTTAGATGAGAATGGTATGTATGCATTTAATTTGTTGATTAAATCAATTAATATGATGGATAATACCTTATGCAGATTTCAGATTTTGTTAACTCTGATCAACTAATGCAAATATTGAATTTGGTTACCTCTGGTTATCTTATGCAAAAAAGTATTGTATTACCTCTGGTCAACCTATGCAATTATTGGATTTGATTACCTCTGTTAGTTTATGCAAATAGCGGCTTTTGTTACATCTGGTCAACTTATGCTAAAATAGTATTCGGTTAACTCTGGTTACCTTCTGCAAATATTTGAATTGTTACCACTGGTCACCTTCCGCATATAGGATTTGGTGACATCTGGTCATCTTACGCATATATAGGATTTGGTTACCTCTGTGTACCTTATGCAGATAATTGATTTGGTAACCTCTTGTCACCTAATGAAGATAACGGATTTGGTTACTTCAGGTCAACTTATGTAAATATTGGAATACGTTCATCTAGTCACCTATGCTGATATTGGATTTGGTTACCTCTGGTCACCATATGTATTTATTGGATTTGCTAGCTCTTGTCACATAATGTAAATATTAGGTTTTGTTACCTCTGCTCACCTTACCGCGATATTGCATCTGAATACTTGTGGTCACCTTGAGAGTGGTTTGTATGCATTTAATTTATTGTATTAAACCTTTAATATGATAGATATGTACACAAAGTTCATATAATGCTGCAACTAATATTCTTTTTGAACTTAAAACTTGCAATCGTTTCTGGTAATGGCCACTTAGGCTTAGTTGAACAAATCATTTTTTGTTTCTTGATTACCTTACACAAATATTTAATTTTGATTACATGTGGTCATTTTTACCAGAAATTAGATCTGTTAACCTCTGTTTGCCTTACTACAACGGGGTTACTTCTGGTCACCTTATTCATATATTGGATTTGGTGACCTCTGGTCACCTTATGTTAATAACGGGTTTGGTTACCTCTGGTCACCTTATTCATATATAAGATTTGGTTATCTCTGGTCACCTTATGGAAATACTGGATTTGGTTACCTCTGGTCACCTAATGTAGATTTCAGATTTGGTGACCTCTGGTCACCTTATGTTAATATTGGATTCGGTTACCTCTGGTCACCATATGCATATTTTAGATTTGGTTATCTCTGGTAATTAACATTTACATACAACTAGTTGATGTTTTTCATTTCATTTGTAGAAAGTTTTAGACAATCAAAGAAAGACAAAAAAGAAGAAGAACAGGTTTGATATACATTATGGATTCAACAAGAATATAGAATATTATTACATTAAGTTTAATATACCGATAAACTTTACACATTGATCATTATCTTTCATGATCATCTACAAACAAATTTAAGAAAAATCATTGATCTTTCAAACATTGCCAAAAACACTGACAGTTGATAATTAAATAAAAATAATACTGATCCTCATTAGATATTTTTGGATAAATAAAATTGAATTTACTAATACAATTATCATATGCTTATCTTCTTTTTTCAGGAGTCCTCAGAAAATGTAGATCAGAGTGGTATGTATGCATTTAATTTATTGTATCAAACTTTTAATATGATGGAAACATACACTATGTTTATATAATGCTGCAACTATTATTCTTTTTGAACTTGAAACTATCAATCGTTTCTGGTAAAATGGCCACTTAGGCTCGATTGAACTAATCATTTTTTTTTGTTTCTTGATTACCTTACACAAATATTTAAGTTGATATCATGTGGTCATCTTAGCCAGAAATGGGATTTGTTAACTTCTGTTGGCCTTAATATGCTAGAATGGGGTAACTTCTAGTCACCTTATTCATATATTGGATTTGGTTACCTCTGGTCATCTTATGGAAATATAGGATTTGGTGACCTCTGGTCACCTTATGTTAATATTGGATTTGGTTACCTCTGGTCACCTTATGTAGTTTTCAGATTTGGTTATCTCTGGTAAATAACATTTGCATACAACTAGTTGATGTTTTTCATATCATTTGTAGAAAATTTGAGACAATCAAAGAAAGACAAAAAAGAAGAAGAACAGGTTTGATATACATTATGGATTCAACAAGAATATAGAATATTATTACATTAAGTTTAATGTACCGATAAAACTTTACACAATGATCATTATCTTTCATGATCATCTACAAACAAATTTAAGAAAAATCATTGATCTTTCAAACATTGCCAAGAGCACGGACAGTTGATAATTAAATAAAATAAAACTGATCCTCATAAGATACTTTTGGATAAATAAAATTGAATTTACTAATACAATTATCATATACTTATCTTCTTTTTTCAGAAGTCCTCAGAAAATGTAGATGAGAGTGGTATGTATGCATTTAATTCATTGTATCAAACTTTTAATATGATGGAAACATACACTATATTTATATAATGCTGCAACTATTATTCTTTTTGAACTTGAAACTTGCAATCGTTTCTGGTAAAATGGCCACTTAGGCTCGATTGAACTAATCATTTTTTTTTGTTTCTTGATTACCTTACACAAATATTTAAGTTGATTACATGTGGTCATCTTAACCACTTCGGATTTGTTAACCTCTGTTTGCCTTAATATGCTAGAATGGAGTAACTTCTAGTCACCTTATTCATATATTGGATTTGGTGACCTCAGTTCATCTTATGTAAATACTGGATTTGGTGACTTCTGGTCACCTAATGTTAATATTAGATTTGGTGACCTCTGATCACCTTATGTAAATATTGGATTTGGTGACCTCTGGTCACCCTATGTAAATATTGGATTTTGTTACCTTTGGTCATCAAAACATAAGTCATGTTATGTTTTTTATCATTTGTAGGAAACGTAAGACAATCGAAGAGAGGAAAAAAAGAACAAGAAAAGGTTAATATGCATTACTGGTTCAGCAAGGCTATAGAATTGTATTGCATATTACATTTAAAATATTAATAGCACTCAACAGAATGATCATTGTCTATCCTGATCTTTTAAAGAACAAATCTTTGAAAATCATTGACCTTGCAAACATTGCCAAGAGCATTGACAGTTGAAAATTTTGTCAATTTTTACTTATCCTCATAAGATAATTATGGATAAATAAAATTGAATTTACTAATACAAATATCAGATGTTTATCTTCTTTTTTTTAGAAGTCCTCAGAAAATGTAGATGAAAGTGGTATGTATGCATTTAATTTATTGTATCAAACCTTTAATATGATGAAAACATACACTATGTTTATATAATGCTACAACTATTTTTCTTTTTGAACTTAAAACTTGTTATCGATAGCTGTAAAATGGCTTCTTCGGTTTGATTGAAATTAATTATTTTTGGTATATTTAATTGGCTGCATATGGTCAACTTTCCCAGATATGGTATTTGAGTACCCTAAGCAACCTTAAAATGATATAGAATTGTGTTAACACTGATCACCTGAAGCAGATACTGTATTTAGTTATCTTTGGTCACTTTCTGTTGTTATTGGAATTCTCTTGACAGTTGACACCTTTTGCAGATTTCGGATTTTGTTATTCACTGGTCATTAAATTTTACAAAAATTGGTCATATGTAGTCTTAGATGTATGATCGTTTGAATTATTTTACATTTCTTATTTCCGGGCCTTTAATAACTGACTATGCGGTATGGACGTTGCTCATTGTTGAAGGCCGTACAGTCACTTATACTTGTTAATTTCTGTGTCATTTGGTTTGTTGTGAACAGTTGTCTCATTGACAATAATACCACAATTTCTTTTTTAAATGTTGAGTTGTTTTTATCATTTGTAGAAAATGTGAGAAATTTGAAGAGGGTGAAAAAAGAAGAACAGGTTTGTATATATCATTGGTTCAAAATATAGAATACTATAACATTATATTTACTATCTAAGTAACACTGAACAGAAAAAATGAACATTATTTTCCATGATCATTTAGAAATAAATCTTAAAAATAATTGAATTTGCTTGCGTTGTCAAGAGCCGATAATGAAGTCAATTTATACGTATCTTCATTAGATCCTTTGGATAAATCAGTTGATTTCCTATACGATTATTTAATATTTAACTTCTTTTTTCAGAAGTCAACAGAAAATGAAGATGAAAGTGGTTTGTATTTATTTTATCATTTTTTTAGTATGATGGATAGGTTCATTACGTCTATATGATACTGAAACTAAATTTCTATTTAAACTTACAACTTGTTATCGATAGCTTTAAAATCGCTACTTAGGTTTGATTGAAAAATTTCTTTTTCTCTTTGGATTAACTTAGAAAAATATTTAATTAGCTATAAGTGATCAATTTTATCATATATGGTATCAGATTATCTCTAGTGATCTAAACATGATATGGAATCGGATTACCATTGGTCATCTAATGCAGATACTAGATTTAGTAACCTCTTGTCACCTTATGCAGATATTGGATTTGGGGACCTCTGGTCACCTTATGCAGATATTGGATTTTAGGACCTCTGGTCACTTTATGCAAATATTGGATTTGGGGACCTCTGGTCACCTTATGAAGATATTGGATTTGGATAAATCTGGTCACCTCATGCAGATATTGGATTTTGGGACCTCTGTTCACCTTATGCAGATATTGGATTAGAGTTCCTGGTCACCTTATGCAGATATTGGATTTGAGGACCTCTGGTCTTCTTATGCAGATTTCCGATTTGGGGACCTCTGGTGACTCTATGAAGAAATTTGATTTGTTATATATCTGTTCACCTTATGCAGATATATAATTTGGGGACCTTTGGTCACCTTATGCAGATATTGGATTTGGGAACCTCTGGTCACCTTATGCAGATATTGGATTTGAGGACCTCTGGTCACCTTATGCAGATTTCAGATTTAATTAACTCTGGTCATCAAAACATAAGTCATGTTATTTTTTGTTATTATTTGTAGGAAATGTAAGACAATCGAAGAGAAGGAAAAAAGAACAAGAACAGGTTTGATATGCATTACTGGTTCAGCAAGACTATAGAATTGTATTGCATATTACATTTAAAATATTAATGATCTCAACAGAATGAACATTGTCTATCCTGATCTTTTAAAAAACAAATCTTAGAAAATGCTTGAACTTGCAAACGTTGACAAGAGCATTTAAAGTTGATTATTAAGTCAATGTATACTTACCCTCATTATATTATTTTGGATAAATCAATTGATTTCCTAATGTAATCATTATATATTTTATCTTCTTGTTCAGTCACTAGAAAATGTAGATAAAAGAGGTATGTATGCATTAAATTTGTTAAATATAATTCTTATTTATGATGGATAAGCGCCTTGTGTCTATATAATACTGCAACTATTATTCTATTGAAACTTTAAACTTGTTACGAATTTTGTGAAATGGCATTTAAGGTTTAATTAAAAAAAACATTTTTCTTTTGGGATAACCTTATAAAAATTTAAATTGGCTACATGTTGTCAACTTTACAAGATATGGTATATGGTAACCTCTGGTCATCTGAACAACATATAGAATTTGGTTACCTCTGGTCACCTTACGACGATATTGAATGTGTTTACTTACCTCTGGTCACCTTACGACGATATTGGATTTGTTTACCTCCGTTCATTTCATGCATATATTGGAAATCTCTGGCCACCCTATGTATTATTCGAATTTGGTTATTTCTTGTCATCAATATTTACCTACAACTGGTCATGTTGTGTTTTTTTTATCATTTTAGAACATGCTAGAAAATCAAAGAGAGGGAAAAAAGTAGAAAAACAGGTTTGATATACATCATGGGTTCAACAAGAATATAGAAAAGTATTATATATTACTTTTAATATTTTATTACAATTAACAGAATGAACTTTGTCTACCATGATCATCTATAAACAAACGTTAGAGAATGATTTAATTTGCAAACGTTGCCAAGAGCATGTTCAGTTGATAATTGATACTTATCCTCTGTAGATATTTTTGATAAATCAATTGATTTCCTTATACGATTATTGTATTTGTTATCTTTTTTTTCAGAAGTCACTAGAAAATGTAGATGAAAGAGGTATGTACGCATTTAATTTGTGATATATAATCATTATATATGATGCATAAGTACATGAAGTTTTTATAATACTGAAATTATCATTCTATTCTAACACAAAACTGGTTATCATTTTTTGTTAAAACGGCTACTTAGGTTTGATTGAAAAGTAAATTCAATATTCTTTTAGAATTTCCTTACAAAATTCTTAATTTTGGATACATGTGGTCATCTTCCCAAGATATGATATCTGGTAATTACTGGTCACTTTTAAAAGATATAATAGGGTTTTGTTACTGTTGGTCACCTGATTTAAATATAAGTTTTGGTTACCTAAGTTTATGCAGATATTGTAATTATCTGGTCATCTTCTGCATATTTCGGATTTGGCTTCCTCTGGTCACCTTATGCAGATAATTGATTTGGTTACATCTGGTCATCTTATTCATACATGGGATTTGGTTACCTCTGGTCACCTTCTGTAGATTTCAGATTTTGTCACCTCTGATCACCTTATGTTGATATGAAATATGGTAACCTCTGGACACACTTACGCAAATAAAATTTGTTTTATTTAGTCTTTTATAACAGAAAATGAAACAATTAATGTTAATATAAATTGCAAAAAAATATCAACATTTACATTTGAATGGTTCATGGTCTTATTTCTTTTCATTAGTAGATAATGTTAGACAACCGAAGATCCAGAAAAAAGATGAAGATCAGGTTAGATATACATTCTTGGTTCAGGGAGAATATGTTATATTGTTATATTAATTTCAATATATTAATAACCATTAAAAAATGTACATTGTCTTTCAGAGTCGTCTAAAAAACAAATCTTAGAAAACAATTAAAATTTCTTACTTTGTCAAGAGGATTTTTAAAATTGATTATGTAGACAATTTATACTTATCATTATTAGATAATTCTTGATAAATCAATTGATTTCCTAATACAATCATTATAATTTTTATCTTCTATTTTTAGAAGTCAACAGAAAATGTAGATGAGAGTGGTATGTATGCATTTAATCATGATGGATAAGTTCATTAAGTTTTATGATACTGAAACTATCATTCTTTTTGAACTTAAAACTTGTTATTGATATTTGTAAAAATGCTACTTAGGTTTGATTGAAAAGTAATTTCATTTTGTTGAGATTACTTTACAAAAATATTGAATTGGTTACATGTGGTCAACTTAACAAGATATTGCCAATTTCATCAAAATTGAATGGGCAAGATGTGGCGCCATAGTTAAATTTATGAACATTGAAAAAGGTGACAAAAAAGTAGGGAAATTGACCAAAATGAATTATTTTCCTATTTTAGAATGATATATTTTTAAATATGAAGCATATAATAGTTTTTGTTATACTTTATATAAAGAAAACAATTGAAGTTTTTAATATACTTCTTCACAGGGCAGGCTTTGGAGTTGACTGGCTCAACCCCCAACCTAATTTTATTTAGGAGATATTGGGGTAGTAAAATGTCACTTTGTTTCTAAAAATGGTATCATAATGATCAAGACATTGATATTATGTAGTTATTTTGTACACAAAATCAATACAACCACCAGGAATTAATTACCGAAGATAACTAGGATTACATTTTATGATTAAAGTAATTGTGTTTTGATTGGTTTCTTATCAATTATCCTGAATAATACTCTTATCTCAACAGGTACAAGTGAGACGACGGATTGGAATGAGATTACTTCTTTTGAGGAGTTTAGGATTGCAAGTATGTACATTATATTTTTGATCATTTGCATACCATGATCACCAACAATCTATATTTCACCTCAACAATCATTATATTTAGCACTTCATGGATTTGGATATGAATCATTACTTGTTTATTATTGTCTTTCCAATTACTTTTTATGAATAACAAAGCTAAATGTCCTGTGTGATGACTGTACCTTCACATTTTCAGGAATGGCTTTTATCTGTTTAGTAACAACCTATACATATACTAGTTTGATATTTACTTGGTAATTTTATACATTTAGAAGCTCCCTGTATCATTTATTTTTACATTGTGCCTTAAATAATTCAAGTCATTGATTTCTTTTAATAGGCTAACAAAAACACAATTTTAAGTTTCTCATTAATCTTATCATAAGGGTTCATGATTATTTTCCAATTTATTTTAAAAAGACATTAGACCTGTGAGAAGTAGACTACAGTCAATGAAAACAAACAAAACGGAGAAAAGAATGATTTATATGGTGAAGGGAGATGAAATCACGGCCAGAGTCCAGGGACCAGACAGAATGTCAGTTCACCAGATAGGTGATTACTTGACAATAGGGAAATCAAATACTACTCAACAAAATCGAAAGGAACTTTCAAGACTAGTCAATTTGATTCCAAAACCAACAAACATAGTGCCACCGATCACATCAGCCTGGTCCATGTTAACAAACGGTAAGACTTTAGTGAATACACTTGATTCTCAAAGAAAACAGTTTATGCTGGTTAAAACACATAAATTGATGATCTCGTGTTTTTTTAAGCATTGATTGATTAGAAGGTAAGGAATGGTGAATGGGTCGAAAGGAACAATCAAACTGAAATTTGGAGAACAAACTGACAAAGCTGAGCAAAAAAATTTAAAAAAATGATGGAAAGTTAAAAATGTAATCATTATAATTCAATATAGAAAAAATAAAACTGAGCAACATAAACCCCATAAAAAACTAGGGTGGTCTCAGGTTATCTATATTGGTTAGCAGATCCAGCTTATTATGTGGTGCCCATAATATTGTTCATGCTTGAGTTTATGATCCCTTGGTATATAACTGTATCTTTTGAAATCATATGTCTACTGTGAATCATATACATGTCGCTTTGCCAATCTGTAAGACATTTTTTTAAGTTGTAAGAACTTTCATAACGGTGCTTAATGTGTCTTATTACATATATTTATCAGCTTAACTTCAAGAAAAGATCACAACTGTATTTCACTTCATTTTCAGGTGATGTTGACTATCAAGTTCAATCTTTAAACACTTTGACCGAGGCTCTTGTTGACAAAGAAGCAACCAAAAAGGCTGTATGCAAAAAAAAGAAAGGGACATCTGCCCAAAAAAGGGTGACACTGAAAAAACTAAGTAAGTGTTTGAGGAGAATTCAATTGTTCAGATTTTATGAACATTGGATTTATAATGGCTACAAAGGCAATCGTCTTCTTGACATCTTTATTACATACTAAGAGTATGGAATAAAATACACAATAGAAAATGCAAACATCTAGATTAACATGAAATATATAAAACATACATTTTCCAAATACCATGATCATTATGTATTTATCTTCTCAACAATCAATTATAAACTGAGTTCTCATCTATTCAATTGATTGCTTATCTGTTTCAATAATTATTCTAGACTAAATTTGTGACAAAATTCAGATCATAAATTCATAATCAAGTCTATAATGCAATCTATCTTTTTACACTCGAGGTCTATATATAGAAAATGAACAATTGTGTTAAAAGCGAATGGAAATGTGTAGTTATCATTTTAATATACAGTCAAACACAAACATACTACCAGCTGTTTAAAAACAGATTTCGTTTTAATATAACTTTATGGACACAGGGATTATGTCAAAGAAACAACAACCCGACCAAAACGTAAAAAACAACTCAAGGTTTCACATTTCTCTGTGTACTAAATAATAAACTTTTCAAAGCAAAATGACATGGAATCAATCATTTTAAAATTAATAGCATCGTTAGAATACTAACTATAAAATCATATACAATCTACTTCTTACTGGTCATAAACTTGAAACAATCCACACTACATGTTTATCAGAAAGCTAGGTAGAACAATTGACTTATAATTATTGATGTACAAATTACTATTTAATTTGGCCTTACAATTCGACTTGGTCCTTTGTTTTATTATTGATATGTATAACATTGCTATTCTCATTTATTTTCCAACGGTTTAACATGCTCTATTTTGTTGTAGCTAGGAAACATTTGAAATTATTGAATACAATTTTTGTTAGTAATGACATAAATTAAGCAATATAGTATTAACATATTAAAACATTTAAAAAAAAATATTTAAGTCAATAAAATAAAATGCATTCTTGTAAATTAAGTCTTTTATTTGCTTAGATTAAGTGATTCTTATTAAAACTAGAATAATTAAGATGGTGTCATTATATAAAATTGTGTAGGTAAAGAAATGTCCTATAATAATAAAATTGCTGTCTTAACTTATATTTGCAGAGAAATTGTTGGCCATGTTATAGCCGAACTAAATAAAACTAATGTAAACAAGGCAATGCATGGGAAAGTTTTTGAGGCCTTTTGGAAGACAATACAGACAATGCTGCCAGGTAATGATTTATTAGACACATGACACGTATTATCTTAACTTAAAACATATTTGATCATTTGCTTAAAAAATATAACCTACTTGAGACAACAAACAGACCTAGTCCAATGTAATAATTAGCCAAGTTATCTGCTTGACAAAATCATCATTAGGAATAGGTATTTGTTATATTAAATTATATCCATTTGTTCACATCAGTATCTTTGCAAAACATTTCAAGAGCAAACTGTATATGTCCTACTTTTAAAGCATTTAAGCACCTATGTAACATATACAATTTTTAAACGAATATCTAGAAAAGGCAGTTTTTCAAAATCAGTATAATATTTCATTATTTTTTTCATTGAAATGGTTTACGAATGGATCCTTTCTTTCTGTGCGTAGATTTGAAACTGCCATCATCATTAACTTTACGCCCCCGTTTTTTCAGAACACACTTTCGGCTTACTGAATAGTCATGATCAGTTTTTGGACTTTTGGATTTTCTGCTTGGAAACAGCGGTTGCTGCTTTCGCTTTCTTGTTGTTTTGGAAAAGTTGGTTGTCTTACAAATATGTAATGCCGTTGTGAGTGCTTGACAAATAGCTTTCTTTTTTTTCACGTCAATTGTCTGGAAATTTTTATTGTTTACATATAAATTGATTTCCTCAATTTTTCTTTTAATAGCCTGGTCGGTTGTTTCTTTGTCTTCAATTAATTGTTGTTTTGTTTCATCAATTGAGGTAGACTCTATGTCAGGTGATGGAACTACCAGTTTTGCTACCATCACACAAACACAATGTTTACCATGGCTATTGGCAAAACATGTACATTTGAAAGAGGTCAAATTAACAACTGATACATTTCCCAATCTTGACAAAACCTCTACCTGGTTGTTATCTCTGTCATAAAAATATTGTTCTGCATTAAATACATCCATTGCTTCTGATCTGCGCTCTACAGTAAGGTCGATGTTCCTTTTAGAAGCAATCAATTCAGCTAAATGAACATGCTTACACATTCCTGAAAAATAGTAGAGAATGGAACATAAATAACTTGTACCTTTATGGTTCACTTTCAATTGTACAAACTTTAAACAAAACCACTAATGAACGTTGAGTAAAGATTTACTTAAATTGGATCGTATTGTTTTAGAAAATTTGATGAGGAAAATGATTATTTGCACTTGTATAACCTGATGACGGTTGATAATGCCTTGTTGGAAGACAAAAACAATCAAAACCGAGGAGACTCATAAAACCATAAGACATTTACAACAACAGTAAAAAACAATAATAAACAACACGAATTCCACTGAATACCTGAAGTGAAATTAGGTGCTTTAGAAGGATAAGCATTTCCGGGAACCATATACGGTACCCGAAATTAATAATCTTGATTTCAACAATTCATACTTGATGGTGTACTTTTAAACATTGTTGGACTGACTTAAGATGCTAAAAAAATACCTCTTGTTGTTGCTGCTGGACAATTGCACACTTCATTGACAATGTCCACATTATAAATCGTCCCAAATGCTGTCTGTGATGGAACAGTGCATTCTGTGGATGAAGTCCATTGCACAGTTTGGTCGAGTCCTGCCTTGAGCATATTCTCTGCTGTCAATTTACTTTTGTCTCCCCTTTGTCCTCCCATATTTTTAAGGCGACCAATCTTTGCGAGTTCATCCAGATAGCTAAAATTACGATGTTTTTTTTAATTTATTGTTGGTTATGAAAACATAATTCAAAGATCTAATAATAAATTATTTCTTAAAAAATTGAATTCACAGTATTTAATATTCAATGTATTTGCATCTTAAATTAAAATGATCTTTCTAATTTCAGACGATTCAAGTGAACGATAAGAAGAACAGGATTGTGACAAATTTAAACTTACTTACTCATAAAACATAGTTACATTTCCATGGAGAAGGAGTAGTAAGTCCTCTACTCTGCTATTGGCATACCCACCAAGGAAATGGTATTTCATGCCCAGGAAAAACCTGAAAATGACAAAATGTTAAGGACTTTGAATTTATGATTTATATTTGAATGTACAAATAGAAAGTACATAAAATATTAATGTGTTAACATTTGAATGTTATAAGTAGCATTATATTTTTTTGTTTTAATATCCTCATACACATCAGGTTTTGCTAGACTACATTTTTTCATTTTGTCTGCTTTTTATTTAAATATCGACTTGCATTGACAATTATGATATTTGTATTAAATTTGCATAACCCTATCATGAAAGAACGGCAAAAATCCTCTCCATATAGTTAAAAATTGTAAAGTTTATATCATGCTATGTCTTTGGTTACCCATGAAGAAGTAGGATTTAGACAAAGTGTAATACTTTTTATAAATCAGGTCATAAAAACAGAGACAGTTCAGAAAATTTATCCCCAAAATAAAATATACTTAGTTACTATTATCAAACAGATGATAATTAGATGATGCTTAAAATTTCGATCTTGTAAAATATAAGGTGTATAGTAATAAAATGTATTAATAACCTTTCAACTAAGTTATTTGTATCTTGATCTTCATGAAAAAAATGTCTTCCATAGTTGGCCCATCGACATCCCCACTTGTCAGTACACCAGTTGTCTAACAAGTAGTCTGCTATTTGTTTGGAAGGCATCTTCTCTTGCAACATTTTAACTTTTTGAGAAAAGTCTTCTTTCTGATGAAAAATTATATTGACACATTTCTTTTGAGTATAAAATCAGATTTTATAGATTAAACACGCGTGTACTCATAAGCATTGTATATTTATAGGTAAGATCTTTAAATCGCATTAAGCAACTATTTGTACTTTCTAAATTATTTTACTGCTTTAATTCAATAGAGATTCATTTCTATATGTTTCAGTGGTTTTTTTTTCATCTTTTATCAACCAAAATTCATTGATTGTATTTTTTATTATTATTATTATTGCGTTTTAATTGACTCTATTTGAAAAATCTTGTTGATATGATTTTGATATTAAAACAATTACAATGTTGGAAAAGGAGAAAAAGATCCCACTGAGGTTTCATTTCTACAGGGATTTTTCTTATAATATAAACATATCAATAACCAATCGTGTTTCATTGTGAGGCAACACACTCGTGATTAATTTTTTAACAATGTTTCACATCCTCTGCATATAAAACTGTTATTATCAGAAGCAGGTCAAGTTATACTATGTAAATTAACATTCACCTAGTACATATTAAATATTCGAATACATTATTTGAATTTGTCAGGACCAACTCAAAACTATTGACCAATTTAAAAATTATTATATTTCACTGTGGTATCATAGGTTCATTATATTTTATTTGTCTTAACTATCACGTTTGATTACCTTGGTACATATTTTCATAGTTCTAATATAGTCAATAACTTTTTTTCTGGTATGTGCGTGCATGGGTCCTGATACATCAGATTCATTTTTATTCAAAAATCTGTACACAGCCTGTAAATCAAATCATTTATATTTAGTTCATGTCTTAAAGATTCTTGATAATAATAATTAAACATTGTCTTGAATATATCATGACTAATTATTTTTCAACAAGATAATATTTGATCTATGAAAGTATTAATGCGAAAGAGTCTATTTACTAATTCAAAACTGACCTCAAGCTTATAAACACAAAAAAAAGATATAAAATGTTAAATCCAATGCAATTAATACTTACTGATCCAAAAGAGTGAAACTTCACAGAATAACTCTCATTTAATAACTGATTTTTTCCCATAAAGAATAAGGTAAAATGTATGATACATATATTGAATAATATAATACCTGTAAAACATGAAACCAGCAAAGTAAAACAGAGCTGTTTGGGAATACTTCATTAATTGCGCTGATTTCTTTGGTATCTCTGTCTACCATAAAAGATCTAGTAAACAAAATGTAACACTGCAGTATCAACAATCTATATCTTTATCTCATATTGGTTTTATTCTATAATACTATTTGTTAATTTGTAAATAATTATGTAAATTCTTTTTTTTTTTATATCAATTAGATTTTTAATTTGTGATTAAAAAGTTTGGAAACAAGCCTAAAAAAGCTTTAATTATAATGTTATGTATAAACCTGACTATGCTTTAATCTTAAATGCTTTGGTTTTAAAGCCTTGCTATAGATCACACTCAAAAGATTTTAAGGAAATTGATGTTTTTGTAAGTTTCATTAGTCCATTAGAAAAATATTATTATGCAAAAATTATTTATCTAATATTCTTTGCCAAAATTCAACTGAAATTATTGTGGACCTTAATTGTATTAATTTTGATATGCATAAAAAAATGTTTCTTTAGATGAATCTTTCATAGCATTGTCTATTTGTCATTTCAAATAACTATCACTGCACGAATATGTGAATAATGTCATAGTTTAACCTGTAATTTTTACAGCCAAATTAATTAAAACATATAATTGAATGGTATTTATTTATCTTTTATATCCATATCAGATTTGATGTTGACTCCGAATAATGTTACTAATTGTAAACAAATAATAAGACGAAAATGAAAAGTGTTAATAAGCAATGATATTGAATTCGAAATATTGTCAACTTTGATACCCACAAACCTTGGACGGAAATCAAATCCATGATTTTCAGCCGTAGTCTTCAGAGATCTCAGAAATATTTTGACAACTTCACCAGTATCATCTGACGAGATACAGTACGAAAGAGGAGTGCCTCGGCCTTGCTGTTCATCTCTTGCAACAAGAGCATAGAATGAATAACCATAGGCAGTTAATCCTTAAAACAAACAAAAAACATGTTGTAAGTTTATTGTCACACAGTTCAATTCTTTTAAACGTATCAATATTTTAAATTGAAATTTCCATGATTATATACAAGTATATACCTTTATATGTAGCATCTAAAAACACCACATTTTCTGCTAGTTTCACCATTCTTTTTCTTTGTGCTTCATTCTGGTAAATAATTACTAATGGCTGTACTCCCCTACAATGTAAATGTTACATATTTAATGACCAAAAGTATGAGTATGAATTATATATTTTATGTTGAAATCATGTCCATTTAATGGAAAAGAAGACGACAAACTAGCTACATTGTACTCATATTAAATAACCTCTATTAAAACTGAAAAAGACAAAAATGTAAAATATATTGACAAAATATATGACTTGTGAACAAGTGTAGCACTAAAACACTCAAAAGGATAAAAACCAAAAATACAAATCATCTATTATGAGAAGTCAGATATACGTTCAGTCTACAGAAAACTCATCTGTACAGCTCTCATTGAAACATTTTACAGACAAAATCATATACGAAATTGGACAGACGAGTACTATAAAAACTATTTGAACATAAGGCAATCCAGTCATGTCTGAAGAACAAAACAGGGTATCAATCAGTAATTTCAGAATTACTCTTTATCAGCATTATGCTTATATCAGTTATTAAAATTTACAAAAGTACATTATTATATAAGAATAATTACTCTTTCAATTCTTGGTAGAAAATTATCTCTTCCTTCAGTATTTGTGTGCATAGCTCGTGTACAGCTACAGCATCATTCTGGTGAATTCTAAAACAAATGAGGAAATATCATAGATCAATACCAGTACTGACATATACAAAATCAATGTCAACAGTACATCTGTATAATTTGACCAGAAAACACCAAAGTTAATTTACTGTGTAAAGTGCATGTTTACAATCAGATTGGTAAAAAGATTAAAATGGTGAATAAAGTAATGATTTTAACAGACGAACCATTGGGTTTGCAAACAGTGCATCAGTTTAAAGAACCACAAACCAAAGGCTGTATCTATAAATGTGATGGAGGTAACCAACGTCATTTCCAGTGTAAGGTACTAAATACCAAATGCTCTTTAAATTTCACTTTACTAAAGTATGTAGATGTAACAAGACGGAACCAAGGATATACTTTGTGTAAAGCTATCATTTTTTTTTAAATTGTCCAGATGTGACCAAAGTTGCGGTGAACAGTGGTAACCAAAGTCAATATATGTGTACGGTTTCAAAAGGGATATAGATTATATACATATCTAAAATAGACATAGGAAACACAAGTATGATTAAGGTAGCCCTAGTCAATACCTGTGTATCATTATATATATGTTTCAGGTGACCAAAGTTAACAAAATGGTGAAAAGTGATTATCAAATTCTACAAACATTTAAGGGTACAAGTGGCGACCCAGGTCCATATATGTGTTCATTAACCAGAGGTTACCAAAGTCTGTATATGTTAAGTGTTATCAGAGGTAGCAAAGTCTTTGTCAATATTAAGATTTGGTTCAAGTTATCAGAGGTAACTGAAGTCCGGATAATGTGTTATTTTTCGATGACTGGATACGTAGAGACAAATATAAAAAAGAAGATGTGGTTCGATGACTGGATACGTAGAGACAAATATAAAAAAGAAGATATGGTATGATTACCAATGAGACAACTATCCACAAAAGACCAAAAATGACACAAACATTAACAACTATAGGTCACCATACGGCCTTCAACAATGAGCCTGTTTCTTTGGATTTTTTAGAAGAACAAAGTAGTAAGTACATATTTTAAGTAAATCTTTTGATTATGTTTTGATACCTTTTATCCATTTTGTAACGTTGACATATATTCTTAATGTCAACTGGTGTCAGATAGTATCTTCTATCGTGCACATCAAAATGCCCTTGATCTCTAGACCATTTCCATGCTTTGCACAATATTTCCATGGGTTTTTCCCCTATTGATAATGAAATAAAATTAAATTCGTGTCAATTACAATTAATTTCAAATTTAGTTAAAATCTTTCTGAGCTTAAGGATTTTTTCAAATCAACACAAAATATGTCGTTGTATCAATATATGTCATTGTAAAAATATATGTCTTCTAGAATATTTTATCATCAATGCTATTCAGCTTTAAACTGGTTTTTTCATTAAAATATTTCATACAAGCGTCCGATATTTAATGATTGATTGATTGTTGGTTGCTTAACGTCCAGTGGCAAATATTTCATGCATATTCAGGACGAGAACAAGTTCACAATAAATACAATAGGTAGGATCTGTAATAGATTAAGGGATTAAGGTCGGAGAAATTTAGACTGCCACGGGAAATGAGGGTATATTGGATAGGGACAGAAATTTAGCCTTGTAACAGGTCACCTACGGACCCCTCAAAGAGTTGTTGCAAGGGTTCTTAACGTGCAAAGAGCGTGGCACTCTCTTTACACGAGGCATCGGATTTAACGTCCCCATTCTGACCGGACGTGGCTGCAAATTTGTACATCCCGCACAGCCAAACGGACGCCCCACTTTAGCAAGGGTTTTACTGCCGGTCGGAGGAAGACCAATGGTGACCATACTTCTATACCCCAGTCACCCTTGGGGTTTGTCCGATATTTATGTAAATGCATTAAATGACTCTCTGGCAAGCCAATTTTATCCTAATCATTTTATTTTTGATTTATTTCAACCTATTCATTCATTATAATCTTTGCAAATTATGAAAAAATGCGCCGGAAGACAAACACAGACATCGAAAAGAACAGAATGGTTGAGAAAATATTAAACTCCAATAATGTCAGCATACACAATTTTTATTATCATTGTGTTTATAAGAGTGCCAGCAACTTATAATTGAAAAATAAGTCAATTCGTTATGAGCAATAAATTATATATAATACCGACGACATGAATACCTGATCAAGTAAAGCATCTATATAAAGCAGTAAGCTGTGATCTGGGCGTGATTGGTGTTTTTCCTCTTTTATCTGTAAACTGTGTCCATTGTGTTTTAGTTGTTGCCGAATTATTACTGCTTTTTTACTCAAATGGGTCAAAAATCTGTGTAAGAAGATATTAACATGCCCTTTAATGATTTTTTTTTACATGTACAACGTCACTGGTTAGTACTGTTTTGCCAAACGTATCATTATTATATTTATTACAACAGCTTGTAAGCAATATTTAAGATCTATCGGACTTGAAGAAAAGGATTATTTTTTCTAAAAATATGTGTAAGGCTACTTCGAATAACTGCTATGGTTGTTGTGTTCTCCTTGTAAATTGATAACTTATCATCAAAATGATATATACCAAATTCTATATAATTTGATACAGGGATTCTCTATATAATAATTTCAACCATGACAGGGTGTATTGACCCGCTCATCACATGACATGTCAGGTAAACTAGCCAGAAACTCATGAATGGTGTATGCCCGGTGAATACCTGTTTAAATGTGTTTGGTTTAGTAATATGATAAATGCATTTAATTCCCACTCTCAAGACACGGACAAAAGGTTGCTTAACTACAACAAGGATGTTAGGATCAATAAATAATGATGTTCAAACGCTTAAAAGTTATAAATTAATTTATAGTTTTGCATCATAAAAGAAAAGTAAAAGAGATACATGAATATTACATTAACATAACATACTGGAATGACACATATGCCTGACAATTATTTGCCCTGGTATTCAAAGGACCTGTTTTTTTTCCTCTTGGTGTATTACATCTAAAATAAACATGATAAAATTTAAACAAATATGCATCTTAACTTTATAGATAACCAAAGAGAAAAATGTGGTGCAATATTTCAGAAAATTCATAGTTCAATACGTTTAAAAGCTTTCGGAACTATCTGTTATTAAAGGCCATACTATAATTACTGTATAAACTATAACACAAAACGTATATTATTGAAAAAAAGCAAGAGAATAACATACAACCAGAAGTCAAGATTATACAACTCATCTCTTTCAAAACTATACCAATATTATTTTCTGTCACAAATGTATCTTTTAACTCAGCATTGTCTTGCAAATTTGATATGCAAGATATGTAAATAGATTCTTTAAGAATGTTTCCGATTGTTACTAAAGTTGTTCTCTTTTTCTATTTATTGTTTATTTGGAGAAAAACAAGAGTGGATTTATTTCAAGATAAAATTCCTTTATAGATTATCGACTTAGATGATTAAAGTTACCTTTCACACCTGTATTGCAATGTGGTTTTATTTGCTTTCCTGTGAATAAAATTCCCTGTGATTGTTATATCCATTAAATGCTTGGTTATGACGTCTTCGTTGTCCACTTCATTTCTGTTGAATGATAAGCAAAAACTGAAGCCAAAGTCACAAATGCTAGCTGATAAAACACAACAATATGTTACAGTGTAATAGTGTGACCAAAAATTCATCCATATATTCAGAAACATTGGAAAGAGTTACACCATAGTATAATAGACTTAAATTGTCCCCCAAAAAATAGAGTTCTTAAAAATGATCCCTTTGTTAATACAGTGATTTTTATATTTTGTAAGACTATTTGAAGTTCAGTAAAATTATTCTGAATAACAAACAGAGTTATTGTTCAATAATCTGAAGGTATATGTTTTGCTGTGATAGATATTTATTTTCTTTTAATTCTATTGAAACCATTAGGTCATAGGAAGAAGGTAGCATATAGAAATTAGTTGATTTCAAAACTATATATTTTCGATTAAAATAAAATTTCCCATACCTTAAACGTCTAACAATGCAATCAGTACCATTTTTCCGTTTTTTGATGAAGGTGGATCTCACAAACTCTACGAATGGCATATCTAGGGTGAGAAAAGCATATGTATTGCTATGTAGTAACACTAGTTTACTTGTTATAAATTTAAAAACAAATGATGACATCGATGAAAAATACCAACAAACGACCTCTGCACAATAAAATTAACGGTACCAATTTTCTTGCACCAGATGCGCATTTCGACAATACATGTCTCTTCAGTGATGCTCGTTGCCAAATTATTTGAAATCCAAAGCTTATATAAAAGATGAAGAGCTATAATCCAAAAGGTCCAAAAAGTATAGCTAAATCCGTGAAAGAAATCAGAGCTTTGCATGAGGGAGATACATTCCTTAATTATAATAATTTCTAATATTTTGTAACAGCAAATTTTAATAACACAAAAAAATAGTTGCATATAATATATTTGAACGTTTCAACAGGCGCAAACCTGCACATTACACGTAAAACAGCAGTAAAACATTAAAAGAAAAGACGCACTATAAAAGCAAATAATGGAAAATGGCTTAACTCTGACAAAACAATTAACAAGTTACAAAAAATACAATTATAAACATAAGTATACTTCGCGACACAGTATTAATACAATAATAAAACGCATTTGCAGTATAACATAGACGTTACAGTTAATAATAAAAAAGGAGGACACATGATACAACTATTGCGACAAAATGACGTTAGATAAACCACTTTAAATTTCGCATGTAAAGTCAAATTTAAGTATAATAATTTTGTCGTTGGAAGTACGGAGAAATGGAAATAAAATGTGTTTTAAATGCATTGTTGACTTTCGAAAAGCCTTTGATAAAGTCATGCTCATTGGTAGTATCTATAAACTGCAACTTTATAATACAACTAATTATTTTTTATAGAATATTGACGTCTATGTATACTAATGGTAGGTTATGTACAAAAGTGGATGATAAAATGACTTTTACTTTTTATAATAAAATTGAGAATAAAAATGGGGAATGTGTCAAAGAGACAACAACCCGACCGTAGAAAAATTCAACAGCAGAAGGTCACCAACAGGTCTTCAATGTAGCGAGAAATTCCCGCTAATTATAAGTTATTCAAATAATTTTAAAATCACTGATGATAAGTATGGCTAGTGAACATTTCCGAAGGAACAATATTGTACCTTCAACATCATGTGTCATGTTATAGTTGCTGAGTTCTTCGTTGCACACATCAACAGGAATAAAAAGGTTATCATCATTTGTTGCATGCTTATCATTCGTGTGGTGATCAAGTTTGCCACTGTCACCTAAAATTTGTTGTATAAACGTTACAATTAACAAAAAAACGTAATAATTTATAATTAATACTAGTTTATCTGTTAAAATAAAGCTTTTTTGCATCTGAATGTATTTGCCAATTAGAAAAACTTTGCCTCTAATGCTGATTGATATCAATGCAGTAATTATGCAATCAAATTATGTAAAGTAAACTTATATAAATATCACATTTACAATACTTCCTTTAATATTTTTTTTTTTCAAAAACAGTCTACAGTGAAAAAACGTAAAACGATTTAAGGTAGATCATTACTGAATTTTTTTCTCAGACATAATTTTCTTATACATAGCCACAATTTAGTAGAAAATCAAAAGAAAAAGGGTGAAAATAAATCTCGTTTTCTTGCGAAAAATGGAAATTTCATTATCATTCCTTTAAAGAAAATTCACCAAATAAGTTATCTTCCGTTAATTAGCTCAGTTGACAAATTGAATCAAACAAAGACTGATAGCCGGTTTTTACAATAACACTTATTTTTTTCAATGATATAATGCACTTATTTACATTTATCAAACAAGAGTTTTAAAAATGAATAGCATTTATGTCTCAAAATTTGCAGTTTTAAATAAAGAACTTTGTCGCTTGTGTGCTGCTATTTTACAATTCAAGATGGCGATATACAGATATATAGTGATGATCTACCTAATTCAAAGATATAAGGCTTAAAAATGTGTTCCGTCTACGTAAGACTCATTAGGGTCGCTCCTATCGAAAATGTGAAAATGCCTAAGGGGACGACCATTTGATATTCTGGGGGGGCCAGGAGGATTTGTTTTGGATCGGTTATTTATTTTTGTAAACTAAGAGGACAGATTATCTATTTTCTGCACTATTGAAGCAAGATTTTTCATTTTCATTAAAGCAAGGGACTTATTATTTATTTCCACAACTATATTTATAATATTCGAAAACATACAATTTTTAAATTATTTGTTTATTATAAATAATTCATGTATAGTCAAGTCATTATGTACCATTTAATCAGAATTAATTATTATCCTTTGTAGATATGAATCTTCTATATCCCCCAATGCATATACATGTATTGCATACATACACAGTATTAAAGTTTGGTTGTAACTAAGGCTCTTTTAAAAGTATTGGCAAACATGATTCGCCGAGCGGAGCGAGGCAAATTTTTTTTTTAAGGGTTTTTGAACCGCTGAAGGCCCAAGAAGCTATATAGAACAAATGATGCAAAATCATGCCTTCTGGGTGTTCCCAAGACCCTTTCTTAAACTGAAAATGCAAGTTCTGTTTTAATAATTTAATGACAATATTTTGGTCTCAAAGCAAAATCACGTTATAGATTCAGTGTAAGACTTAAGTTTCTAGGAACAACATCAAAAGACAAATATGCATGATAAAGCAAAAATGTAATGCACATAGTTAAGTCTGTGGCTGCTGTGTTTTTTTAAACTCATGATCAAGTTAATAATAAAATTACTAAATTACAAATGAATGCAACACTTAACAGAATACAGAAGGGCAATCAATGAACAAAAGACAAATAAATAAGATACATTGATCCCGAAAAATCAGGGGCTACGTCTGAGGGAGAACAGAACTTGCTTCTTGCAAGGCACTTACGGTGAACACAATTTGATATGAAGACAAGCGTTTGGTTTTGAAATTTCCTACATGAGGCATTTGTCTCAATGTAGTTACGGCCCTGATTTAATAAAAGTGAGGTAAGTGTTCCTGAGACAATTAACCTCAAGTTAAATGAAACCAATTTTCTGACATTTCAAGTATATTTTAATAATATTTATACTTTTATTATTAAAAGATATGGGAAGTGTTTCCCCGATTTTTTTTTTTTTGGAAAAAAGATGAATTTATGAAGAATCTGGTGCCATCTCATACTTTCGATTAGACCTGCTGAGTTATTTATTTTCAATACATTGCAAGTCAGGTAATTTATTTTCAAACTACCACAGAACAAACCATTTATTTTTGTGATTATCAAGGCTGAGTTATTTATTTTCAAAATCCTCCTGGCCCCCCCCCCCCCCCCCCCCAGAATATCAAATGGTTGTCCCCTAATGAAGAACAAAGTTAAAGTAAACTTATTTCATTTCGTTTTGCCAAAAACAATTTGATAAAATATCAAATATATAAATATGGACATTTTACTGATTCTATGGTATTTATCCCTTTCTGAGCACAATATTGATCAACATTTTACCAAACGTGGGTCATTTGATCGAAGTCCTTCCTTAGTCGAAATATAATAATGACGACAAATATTTTGCTTTCCTCTGAATTTTATATAATGACGTCATTGGAATAGGTGATCATGCCCGATGAAGTCAGACAAGAAGAGCATGACTTTTTGTAAATAATCTAAACAAATTATCAAATTTTATTGGAATCATTAGATTAACAGATTCCACAACTATATCTCGTGTTATAAGATATTTCCCAACTATCAACCGTAGACATTATTTTTTTAACATAGATTTACATATGCGTTACTTTAAACTATAACTGTAAAGATATCTCTTTATGAGAGATAATCATAAATTATATAATTTCTATTATCAGTTACCTTTTGGCTGGAGTGACTGGTAGTGGTTTTCGAAAATGTGCCCAAGAAGAATAGGATTACCGGAAAAACCATCACAACCAGTTACCCAAAGGACACTATCCTCATTATTGGTACTGGGAGCACTGGTGACAATAACTATGTCTCTCTGTAGCATTCTGGACATTCCAATGACCACAACATGGTCTGCGTACTCTCCATTCTGTAACATCCTGTCACAGTAGTCCGGAAAATTGTCTTCAACGAAGTTTTCTAATAACACAATGCCTTGACTGCCCTATTGATTGAAAGAAAGCTACTTACATAAGTCTTTATTAACTACTGTACATTGAAATTGATTAATACAAAACAAATACTTTTATAACTACATTTTATCAAAAATCATCATGATCATAACATACATTTTTTATTTATTTTATTGTTTTTTGTCAATACCTATTATTTAGCATTGTACTATATTAACTGTAAATGATTTATTTAAACATCTGCAGAAAAAAGCATTCTGGTTGATATGAAAGTCTTAACTGATGCTTATTCTTTTATCAGTTTGTAAATCTTTAAATATTAAATTGCATTAATCACAGGTATTACGGGCAGTTACGTCAATTCCAAATTAATATTCTGTCGGAAGTATTTTTGATGGTATTTGTGTGTTAATAGCTTCTTAACTGATTTAAATCATATATTTAAGTTGTGCTGATGCGCCACTAACGTTGCCAACGGTTTTGATTTGTCCCCTGAAAACATGTCCAACTAATTCTTTATGTTTCTGTCCATGGAGGAGTTTGATAATTAGTGAATGTATTTAACAAGTAAATTAGTTTACCTCAAAACTAGGATGTGTTGATATGTAGTTTACAACATTTGTTCTTAATTGTTCGGGAGCAATAACGTCTGCGCCAATTCTATCTAGCTGGCATGTGATTGCTTCAAAAAAACAATTCCCATTCCCTGGTGTTTGACCTCTGTATTCTAAGCCATGGGATGAACAGTTCCTCTTAAGTCTCTCAACTATTAATGTTTGTTCCTCGTTTGAAGCTATGGATTGCTTTATAGCAATTTGTAGTTCATCAGGTGTTTGGAATGATTTCCCTTAATATTAGAATATAAGGTTAAAATTTCTTCACTTCAAATTTACAGCTAAATGACATTGTTTATACATACTTATGTGTATTCAATTGTAATAAAAACGTATCATTGAAAATATTACTTGTTTATTCAGGGATCATTTGACAGATTTGTTAAGAGTGATATGATTCTGGGTAAACTCTGAATTTTACAATAAAATATGAATTATGATTCTTTCATTTCTTTGTGAGGTTGTTGACATTCACCTCTTTAGAATTATAAATTAACTTTTTCAGACCTTCTGCTCTGAAATATTTGTATCACAAAAGTCTGACATTTTTGGCTATTCATAAATTTATTCAAAAACAATATTTGACTTTGTTATTCATGATTATTGAAAGCAATGATAATATGCTGGTGGTTGACTGGTTTTGTGTAAATTATTTTGTTTTGAATTAAACAAATAAAATGAAGATACAGAACCAAAAACATTCTAAAATTTGAATGATGGCAGCAACTAGATGCATGTAATTGGTATTGACATTTTGTTTTAGAAAATGTGTGTGTAGGTGTGTATGTGTGTTGGTGTGTTGGTGTGTGTATGTGTGTTGGTGTGTTGGTGTGTATGTGGGTGTGCTGGTATGTGTGTGTGAGGAGGTAAAAATTTGATATGAATCCTTTCTTTTTACTAATAAAGGGCATCATAAGAAAATTGAAATAAAACACTGATCAGTATTAAGTGAACTGCCAAAGTGTGTTATGTACACTAGTTTTGAGATAATAAACAAATGATAAAGTAAGGAATAAACCGCAAACCAATTCCGTGGAATGATGTTTGTCTTGTTCCCGATTTTGTGTTTATTGTCGTGGCTTTGTCAATTTGGTTATGACAAGTGGATTTGATTAAGTGCCTTTTGAATTTTCTGTTTTTCAGTTTCCAATTTGCGTGCCAACAGATATATTCAACTACAAAAGTCTACAGTATTAACATAAAAATAACACTACTGTGTTATAAATGTATATCTATAATATAATACAGATAAAGAAATAAATCACCTGATGCTAAGCATATCTTTTCTTTCATCTCATTTGCTTTTTCTGTTAAGGTTTGTGCGTGGCGAAGAATATACTGTTTTGAATTTGTATCACATGCTAAAATGGTAGGGAAATATAATATTTGTGCGTGTAATTTCCTAGAATAAATCATATTTTTTCAATTTGCATATGTACACAAAAAAACAAAAACAGTAACAATTTTCGATTTGTTGGAATAAGATACTAATTTTGAAACACTTTTAAAAAAAATATATACGCAGTCGCTGAGCCATTACAAATTGGCCAAGGATAATTGATCGTAGCTGAATAAAGTTTTAAAAAATGAAGAGCATATTATCCATGCCATCGGTCGTTGTAAAATATTTAGCATAAAAGGTCAATCCGTGGTAAAATCAGTATAAATTCAAGCCTAAATGAATTATTTCTCAATTGTATGATCTAAACAGCGTAATCTATACAATACTGTATGAAAAATATCACGACATTTGTGGCGGTTTGGGCATAAATGAGAAAACACAATTCATACCCAATTCTCTGGCTTTTTTCTCCAAAGAGGTTGCCTCAATATATATGGCTTCAATCTGTTTTTTAACTTCTTTCTTTTGTTCATGTCGCAATTCATGGAGGTCTTCCAAATTAAAGTTTTCCAAACCTGTAAGATATGGAAATGGCGGAATAAATAACGATGTTTCAAATATACACCGCGATAATGTATCATAATTTGACATTCCTTAACTATAATTTTGGAATTTGTGCAGTTTTTCTAGTTTTTGAAGTATTTGATTTGTACTATCAACCCTACGTTTCGAATTCTGATTTTAGGAATTGAATATTGGTCTTAATATGACCTCTACTATGATTAATGAAATAATTATGTTTGAAACTGTAACCATTACCTTCAAAATCGCCTGTTACACCTGTCATATTTCCTCTATTTAATTCACGAACAAAAAACCCTGTAATGAGAATGTGAAATATATCATATTTATTTTTAAAATGTCAACAAAATCTTTTTTTTATTAATTGTATATAACCGGAGAAACCATGAGACCCCTTAAAAGTCATATAATTATATATAGGATGAACAGATTTAACCAAAATGAATTGCAGTTCAGGGTAATAAGAGGTTGCCTAAGACATTATTTGCGTCAGATTACCAAAAGTAAATAAATTATAGGATGGGTATCCAGAGATATCCATAATCATTATCTGTTTATGATGAGCAATATTCATATTCAATATAAATGTTGCGGGAAGTGTTAACCAAATTTAACATCTGGATAATGTGAAACGAGATAATCGATGCCAATAAAGATTCATTAATTATGAATTGTGACCAGAACCTAAAGTTAATACCTGTGTATGGTGACCAAAGGTAACCACATTCCAAATCTGTAAAGGGTGACCAGAGGTAATTTAAGTAAATATATGTATACGATGACCGGAGGTAATCTCATTCAATAATATGAAAGGGTTACCCAATTCGAAATCTGTGTAGGGGGGCCAGAGGTAAACATATTTAATATCTGTGTAGAATGACCTGAGTTAACCACATTCAATATCTTTTAAATTGACCAACGATATTCATCTTATGAACTGTCACCATAGTTAACATAAGCCAATTTATTGTAGGGTGACCAAAAGTAACCATTTTCAATATCTGTGTAGGATGACCAGAGGTAACCATAGCCAATATCTGTGTGGGTGACCAGAGGTAACCATATGCAATATCTTTGTAAGGTGACCAGAGGTTACCTTAGTCAATATCTGTGTGAGGTGTCCAGAGGTAACCTTATTCAATATCTGTGTAGGGTGACCAGAGGTAACCATATTCAAAGTTTTGGTTGGGTGACCAGAGGTCACCCTATTCAATATCTTTGTAGGGTGACCAGAGGTAACCATATTCAATATCTTTGGAGGGTGACCAGAGGTAACCACATTCATCATCTTGGCAGTGTGACCAGAGATTACCAAAATAAACAGCTTACTAGTAGGTTTAATAAAGGTATCTACATTCAATATTTATGTATGGTGTCTAAAGATAAATAACTTTATATCTGTGTATGGCGACCCGAGGTTACCACATTCAAAAAAGGCAATTGCTATATATATATGTGTGTGTTGACAATGGCAACATAATTCAATGTATGTGTACAGCGACCAGAAGTTGCTATATTAATTATAAAAGAAGCGCAAAAGTGTGAACCGGGATAACAGATGCTAACCAAATACATTATTTATGAATTGTAACCATAGGTAACATAAGCCAATTTATTGTAGGTTGACCAGAGGTTACCATGTTCAATATCTGTGAAGAGTAACAAGAGCTAACCATACTCAATATTTTGTAGGGTGACCAGAAGTAACCACATTCAATATCTTTTTAGATGACAAAAAAAAACATATCCAATATCTTTGTTAGGTGACCAGAGGTAACCATATTCAAAGTTTTGGTAAGGTGACCAGAGGTTACCATGTTCAAAATATGTGTAGGGTGACCAGAGGTAACCATAGTCAATATATGTGTAGGGAGACCAGAGGTTACCACATATAATATCTTTTTAGGTGACCAAAGATAACCATATGCAATATCTTTGTAAAGTGACCAGAGGTAACCTTATTCAATATCTGTGTAGGGTGACCAGAGGTAACCATATTTAAAGTTCTGGTTGGGTGACCAGAAGTAACCTTATTCAATATATGTGTAGGGTGACCAGAGGTAACCATATTCAAAGTTTTGGTTGGGTGACCAGAGGTAACCTTATTCAATATCTGTGTAGGGTGACCAGAGGTAACCATATTCAAAGTTTTGGTTGTGTGACCAGAGGTCACCCTATTCAATATCTTAGTAGGGTGACCAGAGGTAACCATATTTAAAGTTTTGGTTGGGTGAACAGAAGTAACCTTATTCAATATATGTGTAGGGTGACCAGAGGTAACCATATTCAAAGTTTTGGTTGGGTGACCAGAGGTAACCATATTCAATATCTTTGGAGGGTGACCAGAGGTAACCACATTCATCATCTTGGCAGTGTGACCAGAGATTACCAAAATAAACAGCTTACTAGTAGGTTTAATAAAGGTATCTACATTCAATATTTAAGTATGGTGTCTAAAGATAAATAACTTTATATCTGTGTATGGCGACCCGAGGTTACCACATTCAAAAAAGGCAATTGCTATATATATATGTGTGTGTTGACAATGGCAATATAATTCAATGTATGTGTACAGCGACCAGAAGTTGCTATATTAATTATAAAAGTAGCGCAAAAGTGTGAACCGGGATAACCGATGCTTACCAAATTCATTATTTATGAATTGTAACCATAGGTAATATAAGCCAATTTATTGTAGGTTGACCAGAGGTAACCATTTTCAATATCTGTAATTGTTTACCAGAGGTTACCTTTTTCAATATTTGTGTACGTTGATCAGAGGTTACCACGTTCAATTTATGACCGAAGTTTACAAAATTAAATATTTAAGTAGGCTAACTATAGGTAACCAAATTAAATATGTATGCACGGTGACTAGAGGTAATCAAGTTTTCTATCTGTGTAAGATAAGAGGTAACCACATTCAAAATATGTGAAGGGTGACCAGAGGTAACCCAATTCAGTATTTGTGTAGGGTAACTTGAGGTATTTAAAGTTCATATATGTATAGGGTGACCAGAGGTCACCAAATTCAATATTTTAGTAATTTATGTATGATTAATCATATTAAAACTCTTGCACAGTCATCAGTACATTTTCATTATTACCGGACTTAAGAAAGAACTCACACGATGGGAGCGTTCAAGACATGATTAAGAAGATTCCTGTTGTTCCTTACTTTTTTAATGTTGTTGTAAATTTCTTTTGGTATATCTGTTTACTCCTTGGTTTTGATTGTATTTGTCTTAGTAGGGTGACCAGAGATTACCAAAATCAAGACATATTTAGGGTAACAAGAGGTAGTTAAAGCCAGTATATAGGTTTTGAAACCGAACATAACTCAATTAAAAGTATTTGAAAGATGTCCAGATATAACCGTGATCATTATCTGTGTAGGATGGCAAGTTTATAACTAATTCAAACATCTGTGTTGGGTGACCAGAGGTTTCCATATTCAGTATATGTGAAGGGTGACCAGAGGTAACCATATGCAATATCTTTGTAAGATGACTAGATGTAACCTTATTCAATATATGTGTAGGGTGACCAGAAAGAACCATATTCAAAATTTTGGTAGGGTGACCAGAGGTCACCATATTCAATATCTTTGTAGGGTGCCCAGAGGTAACCATATTCAACATCATTGTAGAGTGATTAGGGTTAACCATATACAACATCTTGGTAGGGTGTCCATATATTACCAAATTAAACATCTAAGTAGGGTTATTAAAGTTAAATAAATTCAATAGTTATGCACAGTGTCTAAAGAGAAAAAAATAGAAAATATGTGTAGGGTGACCAGAGGTCACCACAATTAATTATGTAAAAGGTGACAAGGTGCAACAAAATTCAATATCTGTGAAGGCTTGCCGGGTTGACAAGAGGTAACCAAATTCAATATCTTATAATGTTTATTGCAATTCAATACATGTGTTGGGTGACCAGAGGTCACCACAATTAATTATGTAAAAGGTGACAAGATGTATAGAAATTCAATATCTGTTTAAGGGCCATTCAATATCTATATCTGTGTCAATTAATTAGAAGAACCACTGTAAATTTATCTGCAAAGGAAGTAAGGTTAATAAAGTTACTATGCATTTTGTATCAAATGACCAGTGTAACTGTATGCACTATTATTTTCTGTATAGGGTGACCAGAGGTAACCAATGGCAGTTTAAAGGTACCCGAGTTCGAGGCATACCATCTTTTTAGTTATATTTCATGAGAGTGCAATATAGGCCATTAGGTTATTTTTTTTCTGAAAAATAAGCCATATCACTCGTTAATAGAGTTACAGATGAATCTTCTATGCATTTTCAATTGTTTGTTTTGAGTGAATCATTATGATTATTGATTATTTGTGTATTATTTTTTACTTTTTGTACCTCTCTCAACAGTATCCTTTGAAATATGGTGATTCCAGAACTTTGCATTAAGCTCATATCCGTATTGTATAACAGCAATTATAAACTGAGTATGCTGCACTGAGTATCCCCTTAGTAACGTACTTTCACTTTAAACCGGAAATCATGTACTATTTTTTGTCGCGTATAGACTCAATTTTAACCGTTTCTGTTCAGGTGACCAGTGGGCACCGTTCAGCGTAACTATTATCCTTGTGCCGTCGAAGCGGTGCGTCCGTTTGTCTGTGCGGGATGTACCCACTATTCAGCCTCAACCGATACCTTTGTATAGAGATAGTGTCACGCGTTCTGCACGTTAAGAATCCCTGCAACAACTCCAATAGGGGTCCATAGGTGGCCTGTTGCCAGGCTAGATTTATCTCCCTATCCAATATACCCTCATTTCTAGTGGCAGTCTAAATTTCTCCGACCTTATTCCCAAACGGATCTATTTCAGAACCTACCTATTGTATTTATTTTTAATTGTTTTTCGTCCTGAATATACACGAAATATTTACCAATGGACGTTAAGCAACCAATAAGCAATCAATCTCTAAAATATTCCCTCATGTGTTTTAACCACTGGACTGATACCAACTTGTTCTACTAGACATTTTGTGACCTGTAGATGCCAATCCTCAGCAGCCAGATGTAAAGCTGTTCTTCCATCTTTTTAAAATTCCAATTAACATATTAATATTATGGAGAATACTTTGATATAAACATCAATAATATGAAACTTACAAATTACATTGAAACTTGTCTGATCAACTGGTCAATGTTGTTTAAGAAATACGAACAAAATATAAAGCAATAAATAAATCAATGTTCAAAACGGAATACAATTACCATTCACAATCAAACAGGTCCCATTCTCTTTAATCTGGAATGTCTTCTCTCTTGATTTTTTGCCTTTGATTTTTAAGTAGCCAGAAGCATTTCTCCTACTAAAGTAATTCATGAATTATTAATAAAATGGGATATAGAAGAATAATTATATTTTATAATGGTAAGGGAGTAGTCTTAGTACTTCATGTCCTTTCTCCCCCAAGGGTGACTGGGGAATAGAAGTATGGTCATCATTGGTCTTCCTCCGACCGGCAGTAAAACCCTTGCTAAAGTGGGGCGTTCGTTTGGCTGTGCGGGATGTACAAGTTTGCAGCCACGTCCGGTCAGAATGGGGACGTTAAAATCCGATGCCTCGTGTAAAGAGAGTGCCACGCTCTTTGCACGTTAAGAACCCTTGCAACAACTCTTTGAGGGATCCGTAGGTGACCTGTTGCAAGGCTAAATTTCTGCCCCTATCCAATATTCCCTCATTTCCCGTGATAGTCTAAATTTCGACGACTTTAACCCCGGACGCCCCTATTACAGTACCTACCTATTGTATTTATTGTTAATTTGTTCTCGTCCTGAATATGCATGAAATATTTGCCACTGGACGTTAATCAACCAACAATCAATCAATCATGTCCTTTCTTATTGAGGAATTCATCTACCGCATACACAGTTATCGATCGGTTTTAAGAATAGATTGAACCACTTCATACTGTAAACAAATAATTTCTGGGTAATTTTCAAAGTTTGGCAGCATTGTTTTGTCCTGGTAAAACAATTTGAAATATTTGCCACTGGACGTTAAACAATAAATCAATCAACTACGAATGATTTCTACATTTCCCCCCCCATTTTGACCGGACGTGGTTGCGTATTATAACAGTCAAACTGACGTTTCAGTGATTGTTAAAAGTATACTGTTCATGGTCAAATTCATTGTTTATTTTATCTTCTTTTCAAGATCACTTACACTGCCATGACTGTTCCCTTGGTCAATTTCCGAGTATGGAGTATATGACTGATTATTAAATATGATATTAAAATCTGATTAAGATTAAAGATTATACTAGATTATGAACAAAGTACAGGTATACGAACCCGTGGAAGGCTTATTGTTGTACCCCCCAAGGGTGACTGGGGAATAGAAGTATGGTCACCATTGGTCTTCCTCCGACCGGCAGTAAAACCCGTGCTAAAGTGGGGCGTCCGTTTGGCTGTGCGGGATGTAAAAATTTGCAGCCACGTCCGGTCAGAATGGGGACGTTAAATCCGATGCCTCGTGTAAAGAGAATGCCACGCTCTTTGCACGTTAAGAACCCTTGCAACAACTCTTTGAGGGGTCCGTAGGTGACCTGTTGCAAGGCTAAATTTCTGTCCCTATCCAATATACCCTCATTTCCCGTGGCAGTCTAAATTTCTCCGACCTTAATCCCTTAATCTATTACAGAACCTACCTATTGTATTTATTGTGAACTTGTTCTCGTCCTGAATATGCATGAAATATTTGCCACTGGACGTTAAGCAACCAACAATCAATCAATCTTATTGTTGTATGACATTAAGAGAAAACTTTACAAATACTTTAGCAATGGGGACATTGTCACCATATTTGAAGGACAGCCATTGACCTCAGGAAATGAATTGAATATATTAAAAAAGTTACGGTATTTCTCAAATATCAGTCAAGAAAAAAATGAAAAAGACTTATATTTTACGCCAATGAAATATTAACTACCATTACTAGGAGGTCAAAACCTGGCAATGTTAAAGACGCAAATTGTATATCTGTTATCAAAGATGGTGCTGCCGACAAGGCCATTCAGTCCCAAGAAATTGTGTACGCAAGATATGGAACAAATGGAAAAGTTCACAGTGTACAGTAGCATTGAAAATGTACACACATCTGATGCAAAAAAAGATGTATCTATAATTCAACAATTCCTCTGTATGATATCCACACTCAGTCTGACAGTCAGCCAGATAATAGTAATATAGCCAATGATCCTGGAGAAATAAATAATGATCATTTTTTGGTTTAGCCGTTACACGAGGATTCTGTGAACATTTAGGTTCATAGAGGGAATCCAATGATAGAAATGATGAAAATATTTTCAGATACAACAATAATGTATGCTACATTTTGTTTTATATCAGTATGATATAACCAACTGGAAAAGAAGATTCTGCAAAAGTGGCAATTCCGCTAATTGACAGTGATTTCAATATTTGGAATACATAATATAGTAAAAAAAAAAGGATAAGTGAAGCCCTTGGACATGATAAGAATTCTGAGACCTAGCAACTTATATGAGATGTACATACAGGAAAATAACACCATTAAGGGCTTAAAGCAATGCAGAGTTCGAGACAATTATGCTTAGCATTGGAGAATTTGTAAAAGTAGCACATACACAACATAACAGTTGAAGACCGGAAAAAAATACGTTCAATTTAATGAAGCTATACAAATTAGTTCAGCATGCATATACTTTGTATATATGTAACACTCTCAAACGTGTTCGTTTTTTGGGCACAATTAACCGAACTTAAAAACGGAACAGAGTTGAAAGAAGAACATTCAAAATGTATTAACACTAGTTTGTTCAACGCAAATTGTTTATATTTAGCATGATTTAAAAATTGATTAGCAACATGTAAAAAAATCTTGACTGTTGCTTGCTTAATGTCTAGTGGCAAGTATTTCATGCATATTTAGAGGGAACGTAACAAATTAGTTTAGTACAGTTAAAATTAATCGTTTACTGAGTAAATTATGTTGTACTAAAAAACTGCGGTGATTCCTTACTATATTAATCATGTATGGGGATATTGCACGGCCGGCTTTCTGCATACTATCGACGGCACCCCGAAAGAGTTGTTACAAGGATTTTAATGTGCAAATTGGGCATTCTCCCTATAGCGGAGGTATCTGAATCAATATCCACATTATTATCTAACATTGCTGCGTACTTTAACACCCCGCACAACCGAACGGACGCCCCACTTTGGCACGGGTTACACTGTTAGTTTGATAAAGACATAAAGGACTATATTTCAATTTGCAATGAAATAGTATAAGGAGTATACGTCAGTGAAAGAGCAATAACCAAATAACGGGGGACACGTTTGGACATTTTTAAAATAAGGACACGGTTGAGCTTTCAGAGAAAAGAAAAAGTTAGGCTTCATATGGGCGTTTTTATAAAAATGGATTAGGTGTTAATACACAACTAGACATGTTTTGGAGTTCAGTGACGTTATATGGACACGTATTGGGGAATCGGACACGTTTGAGGGGATGGACACGTTTATGAGTGTTGCATATATACGCAAGCAGGTTAATGCGCTTTAAAAACAAATTTGCGTTGATTTCCGATGATTGCATCGAAATATAAATCTGACGTCATTTTCAAAATTATGCGACCAGGGATTGGCTTGAACCCTTTGTTCAAAATCTATTTAAAAAATAAGGAGAAAAATGCATTTTTAGAAATACAAAACTTTTTATGTCAGTTATCTATCGGTGTTCTAGTATTTTAAGATACGTGTACTATGTTAAATCTGTTGTTAATCACCAAATTTTTTGCAAGACCGTCTATCTCACATAAGCCCCTCAAACCAATTTGTTGGATATCTCAGTTGTATGTGAAACATATGTCATAACTAATTTGACATCACAGTTAAAACATGTGCCTTCAATTCATACATGTTTTAACTTTTTCTTATCTTTTCCAGGTAATCATAACTTTTATAAAAGTTTACGCCGTCGCCGCAGCTGTCGGAAAAGCAATCTATTTATCCGCGACTTCTGTCGCAGGCGAGACAAAAACGCAATTCACGATGAATGGGGAATAAGTTCATGCAAAAACATGTCAGGCTCAAATGAACGTCACATACCAGAGCTTATAACTGCATGCATCTGACGGGTCATCAAATAAAAAAACGATGAAAACGTTGCACAAAAATAACCTTTTACCAACCCATAAATCATATTTTTTTTATTATTTATTATAGTTTTTTTTTTTACATAATTTTTTTGGCAGCATCAGAAATAGTTGAAAGTTGTTGGAGATACAGTATAGATTGGTATGCATTAATCTGCAGGAGACATCAAGGAACAGCGAGTGCTCTAGGATATACATACTATTGATTGTGTTAAAGACAGTCACAGCAATCCTCCATGTGTCAAAAGCAAGACAAGTTATTGTAAGTGATCTGCCCTCTATAGATTAACCATTTAGAACCAATTTTATTTTGAAAATTCCAGCTGGCTGATGGTCAGACAGCAGAGGAGATAAACGTTATCTGGAAAAATCTGAAACCCTGCATCAGTTAATGGGAATATCAAAACCAATCAGAAATAAACAAGATAAAGATGA